TATTACCTCACAGCTGTTAGAATGGCTGTTATCCAAAAGACAAGAAATAACGAGTGTTGGTGAGGGTGTGGAGAAAAGGAAACCCTTGTGCACTGTTGGTGGGAACGTAAATTGGTGCAGCCACTAGGGAAGACAGAATGGAGGTTACTCAAAAAGTTAAAAATAGAACTACCATATGACCTAGCAATTCCACTTCTGGGAATTTATCTGAAGAAAATGAAAACACTAACTTGAAAAGATTTATGAACCCTCATGTTATTGCAGCATTATTTACATTAGTCAAGATATGAAACGAACCTAAGTGTCCATCGACGGGTGAATGGATGAAGATAATGTGGTGTACATATATATAACGGAATATTATTCAGCCATTAAAAACATGAAATCTTGCCATTTACTACAAACATGTATGGACCTTGAGGAGATTATGTTAAGTGAAATGTCAGAGAAAGACGAATGCTGTATAATCTCACTTATATGTGGAATTTAAAACAAATCAAAAAACCTCAAGCTCAAAAACAGAGGACAGATTGGTGGTTGCCAGAGATGAGGAGTGGGGTGTGTGTGAAATGGGTGAATGGAGTCAAAAGGTATATATTCGGGTTTGGGCTTCCCTGGTGGCGCAGTGGTTGAGAGTCCGCCTGCCGATGCAGGGGACACGGGTTCGTGCCCTGGTCTGGGAGGATCCCACATGCCACGGAGCGGCTGGGCCCGTGAGCCATGGCCGCTGAGCCTGCGCGTCTGGAGCCTGTGCTCCGCAACAGTGAGAGGCCCATGTACCGCAAAAAATAAAAATAAAATAAAAAATAAAAATAAAAAAGGTATATATTCCAGTTTAAAATAAATAAACCATGGGGATGTAATGTACAGCAGGGTGACTATAGTTAGTAATACTGTATTACATATTTGAAAGTTGTTAAGAGAGATCTTAAAAGTTCTCATCACAGGAATAAGATTCTGTAACTATGTATGGTGACAGATGTTAACTAGACCTCTTATGGTGATCATTTTGCAGTATATACAAATATTGAATCATTACGTTGTACACTTGAAAGTAATATATGTCAATTATACCTCAATTTAAAATAATTTAAATTTTTTTAAAATAAAGCACTCACTAAAAAAAGGACAGGGTTCAGAGAGCTTCCAGACTGGTGAACACATGGAGATTTGGGGAGAGTGGAACACTCAGAGAGCATGGAAGCTCTGTGCCTTTCCCCCCATACTTTGTCCTATGCATCTCTTCCATCTGGCTGTTCCTGAATTACATCTTTTAATAATAATCCCATAATCTGGTAAGTAAAATATTTTTCTGAGTTCTGCGAGCCGCTCTAGCAAATTAATCAAACCCAAGGAGAGGGCTGTTGGACACTCCCACCTGTAGCCGCTCTGTCAGAAGCACAGGTGACAACCTGGACTTGTGATTGGCATCTGATGTGGGAGGGGAAGGCTTGGCAATCTTGTGAGGAAAAAGCCCACACAGTGGAACTGGTGACCAGAATCATGAGGAGGTGATTTCCACCATATCCTCTTTCAACTCCATTTGGCCTGTACAGAAGACAGATGGGTCAAGGAGAAGGCACAGTGGATTGTTATACGCTTGTCCTATCTCAGGGGTTTATCACCTCTCCAGCCCTGAGTCATAATTTAGTCCACAGGGATCATGGTAGCCTTCTCCTTTCACAAGACATCACTCTGGTCCTTGATGACATTATGCTGATTGGACTAAGAGAGCAAGAAGTAGCAACGACTCTAGGCCTAGTTTACAGACAGTTCTACTTGATATGCAGGCACCACGTGAAAGGGGAAATTGCAGCACTATAGCCCCTTTCTGAAACTTCCCTGAAGGTCAGAGTGAAGGGAAATTGTCTCGGTGGGCAGAACTTCAGGCAGTGCACCTGACTGTTCATTTTGCTTGGAAGGAGAAGTGGCCAGACGTGTGATTATATACTGATTCATGGGCTATGGCCAATGGTTTGGCTGGATGGTCAGGGATTTGGTAAGAACATGATTGGAAAATTGGTGACAAGGAGGTCTGGGGAAGAAATATGTGGATAAATCTCTCTGAATACTCACCATTCACTTCGGCAGAAGAAGATTTAAATAATCAAGTGGATAGAATGACCCATTCTGTGGACACCAGTCAGCCTCTTTCCCCAGTCACCCCTGCCTTCACCTGGTGGGCTTATGAACAAAGTGGCCATGGTGGCAGGGATGGAGGTTATACATGGGCTCAGCAACACAGACTTCCAGTCACCAAGGCCAACCTGGCTACAAGCCACTGCTGAGGGCCCAATCCGTCAGCTCAGAGACCAACTGGGCTTCTGATAGGGCACCATTCCACAGGGTGATCAGCCAGCTACCTGGTGGCAGGTTGATCATAGTGAAGCACCTCTGTTACGAAAGGACAGCATTTTGTTCTTACTGGAATAGGCAGTTACTCTGGATACAGATTTGCCTTCCCTGCAAGCAAAAGCTTCTGCCAAAGCTACCATTCATGGACTCACAGAATGCCTTATCGTCCAGCATGGTTCTCCACACAGCATTGCTTCTGATCACAGCAAATGAAATGCGGCAGTGGGCCCGTGCTCATGGAATTCACTAGTCTTACCATCCTGACACAACTGGCTTCACAGAAGAGTAGAGTGGTCTTTCGGAAACACAATTTCAGCACCAGCTAGGTGGCAATACCTTGCAGGGCCAGGGGAAGGTACTCCAGGAGGCTGGATATGCTCAGAATCAGCGTCCACTATGTGGTGCTGTTCTCCCACAGCCAGGATTCTCAGGTCCGGGAATCAAGAGGTGGAAATGGAAGCGATGCCACTCACTTACCTCTAATGATCCACTAGCAAAATTTACACTTCCTGTTCCCGTGACTTTATGTTCTGCTGGCCTAGAGGTCTTAGTTCCAAAGGGAGGAATGCTTCCACCGGGAGACACAAAAATGATTCCACTGACACATCAGGGTTCCTGGCTTTCAAGCTGTCCAAAAAGTGTAGAACCTGGAGAGTACCAATCTCAGCTTCAACCCCCTTTCCTCACAGGGATCAGGGGTCAGAAAAAATGAGAGAGACTAGTGAGGCCCAGAGATTGTGAGGGGGCAGAGATCACAGAGATAGCTGCCTAGAACGGAAGCAGGTGAGGTCACTGGCTGAGGCTGTCCACAGAGTCCCAGGGAGAAGGTGGTACAGGAGAGAAACCCCAGGAATGGGGGAGGGAGAAGCAGAGGATCACAGGCGCTGCGGGAGCTACCCTGAGGCCCTGGGTGGGACTGTGTGTGTGAAGCCACCTCAAGACCAGGGCCCTCTCCATTCATAGCCTATGTGTATAGAGAGCGCCAACGACAACACTGGATAAAAGTGGACTTAACACTTGAGAGTTCAGCCATGGGCATAGGGCACACGTGAGGCCCAGCTCTTGATGAACAAGAGGGAACCAGCTCCCTTCTCACCTGACCCAGGCCCCAGGAACGAGAGGGGAAGTTGACTGTCCATCCTTTCCCCCTCTGCTCCCCTGACACAGACCTTCCCCTCCTGACAAGCCTGGTTCCCTGCTCCTGCCTCTTCTTCCCATAGACCCATCACCTAGTGCTCCAGCCACATTCACTACTGTCTCCCAGGGATGCACACAGTATAACCTACTGGAGACAAACACAAACTCATCTACATTCCTGGAAATCTGAGCTTGGTGACATCTCATTAAGGAACGGGGCTGGAGTTCTTGCAGCAACAGAGACTGTGACTCACAGAGCTGGAACATGATGCAGCATTAACGTGATATGTAACCCATGTAAAAAGTTCATGGTGTTGAATAAACATGCAGAGCAGCGTGGCACGGTAACTGCTGCACTTCCCTCCTTGTCCACCAGAGAGCGGCAGAGTTACTCCACAGGCTGGAGCCTCCCCAAGGGCTACAGACCTCCCTCAGCCCAGCAGAATAGGACCCTCACCAGTGTCACCTTAGGCCACAGTTCTCCAAGCTCCCCACAATGGACAGCTCCTCCATCCAGCCAGGAGTTGGCCCACTTCACACCTTTAGGAACTACTATTCCTTCAGGTCATCAGTGTGTGTCCCAGGAAGCTGTGGCCCAGCTAGACCCCCATGGAGAGAGAAGGAGCGTCCCTCTCACCAGACATCACTCACTTTGCACCCTTTCCAGCCCCTCAATCCTTTCCTGGAGCCTTCTGGCAGGAACAGAAGGAAACCTTCTCAGAGCATTTGAGAACACTGGAAAGACCCTCCGTGTCACAAAGGGAAATAATATCCTGGTTTGGGGACCTCTAGGTGTCTGTGTGGTGCTGACAGACCTTGCTACTGAAACTGTGCTCCACAGCCAATATGATCAGCATCACCTGAGAGCTAGTTCGATGCAGACTCTCAGGTCCACCCCACACCTGCTGAGGCAGACTCTGTGCTTTAATAGGATCTGCAGACCCTCTGTGTGCACAAGAGAGGGGAAGAGTCTACCCCAGCCTATATTATGGGGTCTCAGCCTGGCTGGGCATACATGTTACCTGGGCAGCTGCTGAAACAGCATTTCTAAGGTGTCATCTGTGCATTCACAGTCTTTATAAAGTTCCACAGTGATTCCAATGCACAGTGTGGGTGACATTCCTGTGACAAGGGTATGAGATGTAGCCGCAGGGCTCCTGCTCTAAAGGGAAAACCCAGAAGGGGAAGGGGAGGCTATGGGGGAGAGGCTGACTGTGCACCCCAACTGCAAACTGTGGGGAATGCCCAGGACATTGAGCCCCAGGGTTGTGCTCCCCCCAACCAATGGCAAATTGTGTGTGTGTGTTTCTAGGCTGAGGAGTCAAGCTGAAAAAGGCAGAAAGAGCAGCGGTTCACAGGGAAATGAATTGTAAACAGAAAGGGAAGATGGAGGAAGAAGAAGGCAGGCAGAAATGAGAGAGGAGGGAGAGGGAGGGCCCTGGGCAGAGACCCCGCCCCTGGCCCACGTGACCCAGCGAAGTGCTCCTGCCCCAGGAGGAGGCCCAGCACAGAGGGAGGAAGCACAGCAGAGCTCACACATCAGACAGCAGTGCTCGTGAGCGTTTCGGGAGCTGAAGCTCTTCTCACAGAGCGAGGGACACAGCAGACAGCAGACACCATGGAGCCCCCCTTAGCCCATGCCCGCAGAGGGTGCATCCCCTGGAACGGGCTCCTGCTGGCAGGTGAGAGGGGACAATTTTCAGGGTGTGGGCAGGGGTGGGAGAACAGAGACAGGCTGAGGTCTCTGGGGGAGACAGGGCTCTGAGAGTGAACAGAGGGCTTCTGTTTGGACCTGAGGGAAGAGGACATGGGAGCAGGGGAGGGTGGGGGGAGGGACTGAGCAACAGGAAAATCTCAATGAACTGGAATTGGTGAGGGGCAGGAAAACCTCAATTACTGTACATTTTCCAAATTATTCATCACTGAGCAGTAATTTTTCAAAACTGGTGACAATAACAATTTATGTCAGGGTGTCAATCCAGAAAAAAATGCAACCAGGAAGCTAAACACTGTCCTTACCCACCACCCTTAGAAACTGACAAATAAACACCAGGCGGTGGAGGCCCTGGGAACACTCATTCCTTCCTCACCTGGTATTTGGAGCCTGGTCCAGGCCCTGGGTTACAACCAGGATCAGACAAGTCTCTGCCGTCCCAGAGCTCACACTCTATGGGGAGGAAGACAGACAAGCAAAGAGATCTAGAATGTGCTGTCAGGTGCTGACAAGTGTCATGAAGGAAACGGAGCAGGGAAAGGTCAGAAAGTGAAGACGGAGGGTCTTCGGAGCAGGTGTCAGGGAGGGCAGCTCCCAACAGGCCCCTGAGTGTGAACAAGCGTGTGAGGGCAGCAAGGGAGTGAGCCAGGAAGACACCTGGGGAAACAGAGGAAATAACAAGCTCAGAGGGGCTGAAGTAATGGGGGTCATGCTGCTGACCCTGAGCCAGTAGCAAACACACATGCACACACAGACACAGACACACACACACACACACACTACAAAAACACACACCAAGGCTGAGGGATGAAGAGCCCTGCTCAGGACCCAGGGCCCCATTTTTCCATCCCAACACATAGGTCAGAATATTAATTTCTCTCTCTTCCCTCCTAGTCCCACTCATAACCTTCTGGAAGCTGCTCACCACTGTGAAACCCACTATTGAATCGGTGCCCATCAATGCTGCGGAAGGCACGGATGTGCTTCTACTTGTCCACAGTGTGACAGGGGATCTTCTAGGCTACAGCTGGTACAGAGGAGAAAGGGTAGAGAACAACCAAATAATTGCATCACATAGAATAGACTATAGTACAAGCACCACTGGGCTTGCACACAGCGGTCGAGAGACAATATACCCCAATGGGTCCCTGCTGTTCCAGAATGTCACCCAGCACGACACAGGATACTACACCCTGTTCATGATAAAGAATGATTTACAGACTGAAAGCCTAGCTGCACAGCTCCGCGTATACCGTGAGTGATTCCTCTCTGACCTCTGGGTGTGGGGTGGGGTGAATTCTATTCCCACACAGAGGACTGACAGGCCTGGACTGTGTCTCCATCCCCCTCTGTATCACATCCCAGGTTGGGGTTTGAACATTTAGTGCAGGACACACACACAGTGGAGACAAACTTCAAAGGATCAGAATTCTTTCGCAGAATCCGGACCCTGAAGACATTCTGTGCAGGAAGAAGGACCAGGCTGATGGGAGCAACACAGCAGAGGAAGATCAGCCGCAGTTCAACCCCCTGGGCCCCTCCCTGTGCCCATGACGTTGAGGAAGACCCTGTAGGATTCAGTATGGGCCTGGCCTGAGGGCCCCCTGGGACCCCCACAGAGAAGCTCAGCCCCGGGAAGCCCCTGCCCAGCTCCTCAGCTCCCGCCTCCAACAACCCCGGAGAACATTTGCCACTGTTGGGCTTTATCCTCCTGGACGGGGTTGACTGGGAGCAGTGACTTCCCAGCTGCCTGACTCCCAAGGCTTCAGAGCTGGTCACCAGCCAGGGCTCAGCCCCAAGAGCCACATTTGGGCAGGGGTGGAGTCTGGGCCTTCACCTGAGACTCAGCATGGAGAGCAAGACAGGTTATTAGCCGACCACCTGGGGGACTAAGGAGACTCCAGAGGAAGGTCAGCATCCTTAGGGAGGAACAGAGGACAGAAGATGCTCCTGGCAGCTCCTTGACCACCGGGCACAGCCCAGGGAGCCCTCTCCTGTGGATGCAACTAATAATAGATGCAGTTTTTATGGTCAGTTCCTCTATGCTCAGCTTTAGGTCAGTTAATTATTAATGATTTAAGGTTAATACACAGGCAACATGGCAATCCTGAGACAATTTACCATTTTTTCTATTTTAATGAGGAGAAACTGAGTTAAAGGGGATTACACTCACTGAATCAGAGTCACACAGACCATGACTGGCTGGCTAATCAGAGTCATGCCAAGATAACAGCCCTGTCCTCTCCTCCATCCCGGGGGCCTTGTTGTGCATCTTTGGACCCAGAAGCCAGCTGTTGGTTCAGATCCTTTCTTCTTGGGCATCCCCAGCTCAGAGGGAGACTCTGGCATGGAAAGTGAAAGGAAATGGAAAATGAATCCTGTTTACTCTAGAACTAAATGACCTGCAACAATGATCATAGTCAGTGACAGGAATGTCCAGGCCTTCCCTCTTCAGGTAGCCAATGCACAAGCTCCTTGCACTGGATGAGAAATCATTTATTTATTTGTCTCCTAATGTGCTGGGTGTCACTCCCGCTGGAATAACATGGGAAGGACTCGGTTTCCTCACTCTCCAACCTACACCTGCAAGCAGCATAGGGCCCAACAGGTAAACTCTCAATCTTTCTTTGATGAAGGAAGGATGGAAGGTATAAGAATGAGTGAATGACCTATAATCTCTTCAGGCACTGGAATCTGGATGCAGAATCCTAGGAGGTACTGGCCACACCTACTGCCTGTCTCTCTAGGGATGGGACCCATGTTCCATCCTCTGACCACCCGCCCCTAAAGCATGTTGGGAGCCAGGTCTCACGGTGACTGTGGGGCTGCTCGGCCATGGGAGGGTTTTCCAGAGGTCCTGCCTCTGGGCAGCAGTGGGGCTCTTGGATCTTTGACGGCACTTGTAACCCCCACTTTGAAGTCACTTGTAAATGGACATTTTTTGCTCTCTCTGCTGCTTCCATGTCTTTCATCTTCCTCCTCCTTCTTTCCAGTTGGGACTGGCCCTGCTCTGCACAGCTCCCCTACCCTTAAGCCTTCCACAGATACTCCCGCAAATGGCTGACTGCCCTGTTCCCGTCCTGCTAACACCTGTGGCCAGACCCACCCTCCCGGGCAATAGTAAAGGACACAGAAATCAGTGGGAGCAGCAGCCTCTGTGAGGCTCCAACACGAGCCAGTTTCCCCAGGTCACCAGGATAAAGAGCTCCCACTTTGCCCTGGTCCAGGGCTCTTTCCCTCCATGATGCCAACAAGTGGAACACACCACGTAACAGGTGGTGAATCTAAGCCCTACATGACTCAACCAGGAAGTCAAAGGCAGAAAGACAGGTCTGCAGTCCCCAGTGGCTCACTTCACCTCTTTGATTTGTGACTCACATTCTTGTCCTTCTGTGAGCCTCCCGTTCCTCTCAGTGGTTCCCAAGACCTTCCCAGGGTGGGGCTGACAGACCCTGTGCCATCTGACTGCTTTACTGACTGTTTCATTGCCCGTGTGTCCTCATGATGGCACCTGTATCATAGGGCTCTCCGACGATGAGGTGCCCAAGCCACTGTCCTTTCACTTAGACTTGGCCCAACTCAGACAAATTTGATCCAGCTCTAGCTGTGTTTCCTGAGGTAGAAATAAAAGAAAAGAAAACATGCCACACGCCAGTGGTGGGCCTCCTCCCCATTTGCCTGACTGTCCACAGAAATTGGTGACAGGGACCTCTTCTCCTAAAGTTATTAACATAACACAGAACGTTTCTACTAATTTAAATCATTCCTCTCTTTATAAAACAGACTCAGACCTCTCCCCCATCAATTCTGTCCAAGACTAAGGGCAGAGACGTTGGTTCTGCTGCCAAAGCCAGCCAGCATGTCCCCCTCACTGTTTTTTTTTTTTTTTAATATTTATTTATTTATTTATTTTGGCTGGGCCTTAGCTGCGGCATGCAGGATCTTTAAGTTGTGGCAGGCGGGCTTCTTAGTTGCGGCATGCGAACTCTTAGTTGGGGCATACATGCAGGATCTAGTTCCCCGACCAGGGATCGAAGCCGGGTCCTCTGCATTGGGAGCGCAGAGTCTTACCCACTGGACCACCAGGGAAGTCCCTCCCCCTCACTCTTTTCTAATCATTCTTTGGACTCGCCTAGCCTTTATGGGGTCACTGTCTTGTCAATCACCTTTAACACCTGGGCAGAACTGCCCCACCTCATGGCCCTGCAGCCTGAATACTGGACTGACCACCAGACTTGCTCTGGGTCATCCCATGTGTTATTTCTGCTCAAACACCCAGTTCCAGGCCATGTTGCCCAGTCTTCTTGGGGTTTAAGGACTATGGGATGGCCCATCATTACCTATCTCTAGGGAACCTTGGAAATCGAGAACTCAGTGAAAACACATCTCCACCAGGCAATGTAGGTCTGTGCAGCTTGAAGGGTCTCAAGACCTGCATGTTCCAGGTGAACACCCCAAGGTCAGTCAGGTAGTCACCTGGTCAGTAAAATACTAAATGAGGGGGCTTCCCTGGTGGCACAGTGGTTGAGAGTCCGCCTGCCGATGCAGGGTACATGGGTTCGTGCCCCGGTCCAGGAAGATCCCACATGCCGCGGAGCGGCTGGGCCCGTGAGCCATGGCCGCTGAGCCTGCGCGTCCGGAGCCTGTGTTCCGCAACAGGAGAGACCACAACAGTGAGGGGCCCGCGTACCACAAAAACAAACAAACAAACAAACAAACAAACAAAAAACTAAATGAGAGAGCAAGGGGTCTCTGATTTCCAGGCCTATGTTACTGCTATCAAACCTTGATACACTTGAGAAAGTCTGTGCTTTCTCTCAGACATAGAGCAGGTGGTCTTATGCTCTCTGAGTTCAGATGTTCATGCATTTGTCTTGTGATACAAAGACCTGCCTTATTCTTTAAGGACTCAGTTTGGCTCAAAGGTGAGAAATGCCAACTCTGACTGAAGATGCTATTGGAGGAATCAAGGTATAAAAGGGGCAATGTTCTCTCTGTTGTCTTCACAGCGGTGTTGCGCACCCCAGTCATCACCAGCAACAACTCCAACCCCATGGAGCAGGACACTGTAGTGTTAACATGTGGGCCTGAGACTCAGAACGCCTCCCACAGGTGGTGGGTCAACGATCAGAGCCTCCCCAACAGCACCAGGCTGGAACTGTCTGAGGACAACAGGACTCTCACTTTATTCCATGTCACGAGGAATGACACAGGACCCTATATGTGTGAAACTTGGAACCCCGTGAGTGTCAGCCGCAGTGACCCATTCACCCTGAATGTCATCTGTGAGTAGCCTCTGTTCCTATGTGCCCCAGGCAGCCTGACTGAATCTCCACTGCTGGAGGCCAGACCACACCCATCCCTCTCAGGTCCAGGTACATGGACTCTCACCTCTGGATATCAGGTTGGCCATGACTTCCTGTCCCAGGCAAATCTGGGCAGGCCCAGCCTTGAGCCAAGTCTAGGAGGCAACAGCGGCTGACACGGGTCTCTCACTGTTTTGCGGTACACGGGCCTCTCACTGTTGTGGCCTCTCCTGTTGCGGAGCACAGGCTCCAGACGCGCAGGCTCAGCGGCCATGGCTCATGGGCCCAGTCGCTCCGCGGCATGTGGGATATTCCTGGACCGGGGCACGAACCCGCGTCCCCTGCATCTGCAGGCGGACTCTCAACCACTGCGCCACCAGGGAAGCCCCGTAATACCACACTTTTGATTACTGTAGCTTTGTAACAAATTTTGAAATCAGGAAATGCGAGTCCTCCAACTCTGTTCTTCTTTTTCCAGATTTTTTTGGCTTTTAGGGGTCTCCTGAAATGCCATATGAATTTTAGGGCTGATTTTCTATTTCAGCAAAAAAACAAAAAAGTCATTGGGGAATTTTGATAGGGATTGCGATGAATCTTAGATCACTTTGGGTAGTACTGTCATCTTAACCATGTTAAGTCTTCCAATCCATGGACATGGAATGTCTTTCCATTTATTTATGTCTTCTTTAATTTCTTTCAGCAGTGTTTATTTATAGTTTCTCAGTGTATAAGTCTTTCACCTCCCTGGTTAATTCCTGAATATTTCATTATTTTTGATAGTATTGTAAATAAAATTTTCTTAATTTCCTTTTTGAATGTTTCATTGTTTGTGTATAGAAACAACTGATTTTTTAAGTAGTATTTATTTATTTATTTTTGTTTTTGGCTGCATTGGGCCTTCGTTGCTGTGCATGGGCTTTCTCTAGTTGCGGCGAGCAGGGGCTAGTCTTCATTGTGGTGCACGGGCTTCTCATTGCGGTGGCTTCTCTTGTTGCGGAGCACGGGCTCTATGTGCGTGGGCTTCAGTAGTTGTGGCACGCAGGCTCAGTAGTTGTGGCACGCAGGCTCAGTAGTTGTGGCTTGCGGGCTCTAAAGCACAGGATGAGTAGTTGTGGCGCATGGGCTTAGTTGCTCTGCAGCATGTGGGATCTTCCCGGACCAGGGATTGAACCCATGTCCCCTGCATTGGCAGAAGGATTCTTAACTACTGCGCCACCAGGGAAGTCCTGATTTTTACATGTTGATTTAGTATTCTCCAGCTTTGATTAATTTGTTTATTAGTTCTAACAGTTTTCTTGGGGATCTTTATGGTTTTCTACATATAAGGTCATGTTATCTGCAAACAGAGATAATTTTACTCTTCTTTTCCAATTTGGATGTCCTTTATTTCTTTTTCTTGCCTAATTGCTCTGGTTAATACAACCAATACTATTTTGAATAGAAGTGGAAAAAACAGGCATTGTTGTCTTGTTCCTGACCTTAGAGGAAGAACTTTCAATCTTTCACCATTCAGGATGATGTTAGCTGTGGGTTTTTTATATATGTCCTTTATTATGCTGAGGTGGTTTCCTTCTTTTCCTAGTTTGAGTGTTTTCATCATGAAAGGTTAGTGGATTTTTGTCAAGTGTTTTTTATTGGTTTAACCTCCTTACTTTATGTCTATTCATAGACTCTATTTCTTTGTGATTTCATCTTGGCAGCTTTCATGTTTCTAGGAATTTGTCCATTTTGTAGAAGTTATCCAATTTGTTGCCAAATGATTATTCATAGTACTCATATTTTGTAGAATTGGTAGTAATGTTCCCACATTCATTTCTGATTTTAGTAATTTGAATCTTCTTTTCTTAGTCAACCTAGTTAAAGATTTGTCAATTTTGTTAATATTTTTGAAGAACCAAATATTGGTTTTATTGATTCTCTCTACTGTTTTTCCATTCTCTAATTTATTTATCTCCATTCTAATTGCTATTGTTTCCTTCATTCTACTAGCTTTGGTATGTTTTTTTTTTTCCCTTGTTTTGTTTTTCGTGTCCCTCAAGTTGTAAATTTAGGTTGCTGACTTGAGATCTACTTTTTTAATGTAAGCATTTACAATTATAAATTCTTGCACAGGATTCTTGACTTCTCTGAGCCTCAGATTCCTCAGCTGAAAATTGCAGTAAAAGTACCTGCTTCATGGTTTTGTTTCAGATTTAATGTAATATTCAATTAAACCCACAGCAAAATACACACAAAGGAAAATTTTTCCAAAAATGTTAGCTGCTATAATTACTACTATTATCAGTAGGTTATGTGAAATCGGGTACTCCGATTCAAGAATTACCTAACTCTAGATCCACCTCTTATTAGCCATATGACTTTGGGTTTTTCACTACTGGAAGCCTCAGATTTTCCATCTGTAAAATGGAAATAATGTCTATCTGACAGGGTTATTATATGAATTAAATGAGATATATGGGAAATATTATATATAGCACAGAATCTGGCACATAGTAAGTACATCATAACAATAGCTAACATTAGCATTAATTTTCAGTTTTGAGTTGAATGGTGAGGGAAACTGAAATAAAAAAGAACAAGAGGGCTTCCCTGGTGGCGCAGTGGTTGAGAGTCCGCCTGCCGATGCAGGGGACGTGGGTTCGTGCCCCGGTCTGGGAGGATCCCACATGCCGCGGAGCAGCTAGGCCTGTGAGTCATGGCCTCTGAGCCTGTGCATCTGGAGCCTGTGCTCTGCAGCGGGAGAGGCCACAACGGCGAGAGGCCCACGTACCACAAAAAAAAAAAAAACAAAGAGGCAAAAGGTATTATATATTTGGGGAAGGAAGGCATAACACAAAAGACCCATAGGAACATGTTACTGAGTAAATATGGAAGAGAGAAAAAAAGGAGTTGAGTGCAAAGTTTCACATCTAGTATGTTAGTTTTCATCCTGTGAGATGCAGCCCAGATGGGATTAGACATACAAGACATTCATTGGGAAAAATGCCTGTGAAGGAAAGTGGGGCAGGAGTGGGAAGAGCCTGGGAGGGTCCTCAGACCATGATGCATATTGGATCCCTGGGAAGGAGAAAGGGAAGGAGGAAGTTTTAGGCTGCAGTGCAGTTCTAAGAGAGTGTCTGCAAATCTGGTGAGGAGTCCTTGAACTAAAGTCACCCAGCACAAAAAATTCATTTCTCGCAGAACTGGGATTGATTTCATATTCCTGCTGGGAACCTGTGTGAGGGGTGGTCTCTGTGCAGAGGGGCAGTGAATTCAGAGGGCCTTCCATCAATAAATCCCCACCAAGACACCTAACAGGCACATATTCAAGGTGGCCACACGTGGGCCACACCCAGAGAAAGATGTAATCATGAAAAGATGGGAAGCTATAACATAGAAAAATAACCATCAGTGCTTCTTCCATTTCCAAAGCCTTCAAAAATATCTGAGTGCAGAAAGGCCACACTGGAATTGAGGCATGTCCAACCACCAACCTAGAAATACAGTCAGAGAGAAAAAAATTACAAAAATATAGTCGGCTAGTCACCTCACAGCAACCTTCCACAGAAATTTTATTCCTTGAAGGAACAAGTCGAGACTATTTCATATTGAGAGTTATTTCCCAGAGTACCCCCCACTGTAAAATAATGTCACCTTCATTGACTCTTCGTTTTTCTTTCGATGACAGTTGATTCAACACAAGGAGGTTCTTCTGGCCTCTCAGGTGGTGCTATTGCCGGCATTGTGATTGGAGTCCTGGCTGGCGTAGCTCTGATTGCACCCCTGGTGGATTTCCTGTATATGAGATAGACTGAAGGGTATGATGCCTTTCCTCTTGTTCTGCTTTCCCTGAGGCTAATCGTCATGCTCAGGAGAGGGAAGGAGACTTCATCTCTGTCTCTGGACCTGGATCTGCTCCTCATGCTTCCTAAAATCTTTCTTCTTGGCATTAATTCCTGTGGGTCTCTTCTTCCCTGGTCTTCACGCTTCCTGTGCCCTACTCTGTCTTGGACATAGTTATTCCCATCCCCACCTGGTTTACAGGGGGCAGAACGAATTATGTTCCTCTGTCCCCAGTCAGGGAAGCCAAGGTCCAAGAAGGAAAACTAATGAGGAAATGAAAGAAGCAGGAGGAAGGGGGTCCTGCGCTCTGTCGACAACAGTAGCAGGAGGAGGGAGGGACAGGACAGGAAGAGAACCTAAGAAAAGCAGAAACAACCAAAGGCCTCCTGGGCAATAAATAAAGTGACAAAGAAACAGCATCTACCTACAAAAGGGGAAAGGTGTCAGGGTAGAAATAAGCTCAGAAGCAGTTGGCATGAATGGCCCTAAATGTGAACAGCCAGTAAGCAGGAGAGGAGTAAACACCAGAAGGGATGATGGGTAGATTGAAGGAGGAGGTCCTCAGAGGAAACAGGGCCAACCAAGGTATAAAGGAACACTGAGGAGCCCCAAGGAGTCATGCTGACAGGGTCCTTCCTAATTCAAGGAGCAAAGGTCCTGTGCCTGGGAATAGCAGTCACAGTGTCTGATATTTATTTAGGGCAAGTGACCAGCGCGATCTCACAGAGCACAAATCCTCAGACCACAACCAGAGTAAGTAAACCTGCTCACCTAGTGAGAGCTCGTATGTCCTACTATATACCCTGCCCTACCAGGGAATCCCGGATTTCCAAGTGAATCCCTACCTTCTGAATTATTAGAGGGGATCTCAGTTTCCCAAGCTTAAACTGGCATAGGTCCTCACGCCCTTCCTAGCCATGTAAGATTCCCCTGAGACACAGCTGGGGAAGAGACACTCACCCCTCCTAGGCCAGGCAAGCCAAGCAGGCCATGAGATGGACATGTTTCCAGGAGCCTTTTCCTCATCCTACCTCCTTCCCCCTCCTGCCTCTATTACGGATGCGGGCATCTCCTTTGGTGAGACTTTCCCTGCCTTTGGTGCTCTGGGTACTGTGGGCCTCAATGCCCCTCCTTGCCGCTGGAGCCTGCTGCTGAGACACACACCTGGGCAAAACTGGCCTTGTGAACTGGAAGAAATCTTCAGAAGTGCACTGAGGCCTCTCCCCACCCCTCCTTGGTCTCATGCCCTGGGGTCTGGACCACAGACTGAGGGAAGCGAATTCCTTAAGTCTTAATCATGGGCCACCCCCCCACCCCACCCTCTCACCACCTGCCACCTCCTTCAGCTAGAAGCACAACAGCTTAGGGACACCACGTTCTGAGGCAATAAGTTAGTTCTGCATTTTCATGGGTTGATAACTCTCCTTTGTTTCCCTAGGTCGGGGCCACTCTGACAATTCACCTAACAAGGTAAGCACAGCCAGTTTCACTGGCTCCTTTTCTCATGGAAATATCTCTGTGTAGAATGGGTTATTCTTGAAGATACAAAAGTGAGATCAAGTTTGGGTCAAAGTTCCTCACTTCAGCAACAGACAAAGAAATATTACCCCCACCAGTCTACCTCATTGCAAGATGTGAACTTGAATCCTGGCTGGGACCTTGGGCTGGTAACTTAACCTCTTTGATTCCCGGCTTTTTCACGTGTAAAATGGACATGCTGCCTCCTTCAAAGAGAAGTTCAAGGAATTAAATGACATAACAAAGGTAAAGCACCTGACACAATGCCCAGCTCAAGGGAGGCACTAGATCATTCTCCCTCTTCTGCCTCCAATCTGACCCTGCTCTTACTATCAAATGATAATTTCCAATCTAATAGATCTGAGGTCTTAGTTCCTTTACTTTCTGATAATTGTACTGAATTTTTCTCATCTTAACCTTCAATAGAATATACATTTATATTGAAAAGTGCTTCAATCATAAGTATATTTTAACAATGTTTAAGTTTCTACATACCTATGTAAACAGCACCCAAATCATTTAAAAAAAATCAACCCCCCCAACAAACACACACACAAAACGCTCCAGTTACTTCCCTCCAAAGAGTAATGACTATCCTTATTTCCAGTGTATTAGGTTAGTTTTACCTGATTATGCACTTATATAAATGAAAAATACAGTGTATACATGTGTCTGGCTTCTTTGATTCAAAATTGTTTTGTGAGATTCATTCATATTGTTGTGTGCCTTTGTCGTTTATTTATTCTCATTGCTGTATCATCATATTTCACTGTAGCATTCCATAATCTATCTCTTCTAATGAACATTCAATAGGATGTTAGTAAGCAGAGAAAATAGGTAATAAAAGCCCTTCTCTGAAGCTAAAAGTTTCAAAGTGGTGAAAGCATGTGGTGCTGAATCACACTGGACAAGGTGAGGGCCTGGCCTACGACCCTGATTTAACTGACTGCTGTTCATTCCTTTCAGATTGACGAAGGTGCGTATTCTGCCCTGAACTTCAATGCCCAGGAATCAAAGAAACCAACTTCAGCCTCCCATCCCTAACAGCCACAGAAACAGTTTATTCAGAAGTGAAAAATAAGTAATGCAACCAGTCCTGCTCACTGCACTTATTCCAAGCTTCTCGTCCCCATCCCTAGGAGATCCCTTTGCCCTCCGGGGAAAATGTGAATAGTGTCTTTCCCCCCCTTTCATCCCTAATGAGGCTCCTCCAGGCTGCCTGGTCACAGTCCCTTCCTTCAGTGTCAGTAGATGAAAAGGTACATCCAGGAGGAGGTCTGTAGGAAACCCAACCTTCCTTGTCATTGAACTTTGGCAAAGCAGACCTTGGGAGAGAGTTGCCAGAACCTCCACGCCTCCCCATTTCCTGACCTAAACTGGTTTTAAACTTGCTCATTCCTTCCCACCCCAGTCCTTTCATATTGGAGTTTAACTTGAATTTGCCATAACCTGGAAAATTATGTCCTTGATCCACTGAAATGCATGTGCCAGAAAAGGAAAAGGAAAAGGAAAAACTTCTCCTGCTCTCTGAAGCCCGGTGTGAACCCACCATTCACAGGAAAACACATACATAACCAATTCTGAACTGGGAAATTCTATACCTTTGTCCACTTTCAGGGTTGTCTACCTGCAGGACCAGGGCTAAACAACTTACTACTTAGCTAGAATACCACCTAAACCTTTGAAAGCCTGTCTTCAGAGAACCTACTAGAAGCAACTAGAAAACTTCTCAAAGTCCATAAGTGAATCCTAATGGAAATTGCAAAAAATGCACATACTGTTTTAATAACTTTATGGGCTTCATTAAAGGCAATGCTCCGAGATGGAGGGATTATCGCTTTAGAGGACAATCAGCTCTTAACAGAGACAATCTGCTGGGATTTGGGAAAGGAATCAGAAAGCTACCCTGCAGAGATTATTTAAATAATGGTTAAAGAATGTACAATTTGGGGTATTGGGTTTTTTCCTTCCTTCTGAGACATTTGCCATTTAAATTTTTGTAATTGTTTGTTTATGTGAAAGGGGTTATGTTTACTTAATTTGCTGTGTAAGCCAATCTGATTGCCTTAGGTGAAAGAAGCCACCAAAACCCCTCAAGTCCCTCTGGCCAGGAGCTCCTCAAGCTTTTTATGTCAGGGGCTCCACACAGAAAATAAGAAGCAGCAGTTTTCTACGTTCATGGCCAGAAAGGGATCTCGCTCAGTTTCTAGGCACCTCAGACCAACCATCAGCACCATTCTATTCCGCGTTTCTGCCTGTGCATGTTCCATCTGCCCCACTCACCTTCTCAGGAAACCTTGGCCTCTGCTAAGGTGTGTTTGGTTCTTGAGAAGCAGGAGCACCTGAAGGGGACACGACCACCCACGCAGCTGGCCTCGTTTACAACCTAGAAAGCTGCACTGGTGCTGATGCTCCTTAGGACACAAGGGGAGGATTATAGTTCAGCTCTGGGCTTCGTGAAAGCCTCTGAAATTTGTTTTCTCCCATGGGGTCTATGAGACCCAATGTGTCAGCATAAAAAGGACGGGCAGGAGAAGGAGAGGCACGTCTACTTCCCACCCAGCCTCCTTCTGCATGGATGGAACCTCCTTGAGGCTGTTGAGAGAAAGGTTTTATTCCATATTCATTACTTGATCTAATGCTGTGTGGAACTGGCCCCCTCAAAGAGGGTTGGTTGGGAGTTCTCTGTACTCAGGTACCTCTTTCAGGGTTTTTTAACCCTGACACAGACTTGTATATACCTCTCCTCATCCACACTATTCTGTGTAATTTAATTTTGCCTGGCTAAGGCCGCTTCTGAATTATTTGTAAAATTTGCTCTATATTTATAATAAAAATTATACATCAGGCATCAACATGCTGCCTCACAGTTGGTACTATTTTCTACAATGTTTTCTTTACAGGCAGAAGAAACAGAAATTGCTTAATAGAGAGTCAGCGTGAGCCTATTTCTAAGTCCACATGGTATCTGAACTAGCGATCAGAGAATTCGCTCAATTCATTTGCACACCTGCTAACAAAGTGAGTCTATCTGGAGCAACAAGCCACAGCTCCAACCTGCCTGGGAGAAACTGCCTGTCTTCCTCTGGGACAGAAGATGATTTCATGAGTAGAAGATCTCCTGGCCTCTTTACTAGGGACAAATCACACTTCCCACGCAGATGGCTCCAGTGAATCAGATGCAGCGATACAGCTTTCACTCCAACAGTCTCCACGGCTTCAGGGGTATAGAAATCTCTCTAGCACCCTCCCTCCTCCTTGTACCCTGTTCCTTTTTTTCTGCCCCTCAGAGGGTCAGAGCTCTTCTAACCTGGGTAACCTTCATTCCTTAATTAGCCTGTTATCTCATTTCCTTCATTTCCAAGCAATTGAAACGTGTGCTGTCTTTCTCCTTCCTCATGCCCTGGTTTCTCCTGGCCCTCTGCAGTGCTGGCTCCCTTCCCAAGACCACCGGAAGCAGCAGAAAATCGGCACCCATCTCTTGGCCAATTCAAAGGTACTTTCACTGTCCTCACATTGTTCGCTTTTACCACATCTGAGACCACACACAACTTCTTCCTTCTGGACACTCTCCTCCTACCAGCCCCACCTGTGCATTGCACCCCGACCTCAGATTTCCTACTCAGACCTGCTTGTCTCGCTCCACACCACCCTCTTTCCACAGCTTCCATGACCTCTCTGCAGGGGGCTCCTTCATCTATATCTCTAGCCCGTCTACTTCCCAGAACTCATGACACTCACATCCAAATACCTTCTGAAATTGCTCCCCATCTGAACTGGCTTTCCCCCACAGGTCACTCATTCCTCTCAGTGACGCCACTGCTTCCTCGGCTCTTGCTCTTTTGTTTTCTAGATTCAATACATCGTCGAAGCCTGTTGATTCCTTGTTTAACATCTCTCAGTTATGTCATTCTCTCCATTCCCATACACCTAAATAACCCAGGCCCTCAACACCTCTGCTGGAAATACTGCTTCCAGTACTGAAGTTAGCAGAGTTAGCATCCCCCCACAACTAGGGCGCCTGCCGGCCCCTGGTGGGGAACTCTGACCCCCAAGGAGACGGGAGGAACCCCAGAGTGAACCGGTAGGATGTAGGGGGACCGAGGGGGGAGGAGAAGTGAAGGCCAGACAAGATCGGCACCCCTGAGGCCGGGGAGATCAGGAGAGGCAGGTAGGAGGGACTCTCCGGGAAGAGCGGGAGAGGAGCGGAGGCCGTTTGCCCCGCTCACTTGGGCCCTGGGGAGCCTGCTGAGTTCGCAGGCGTATCCCCTGCCCTCCAGACCCCTCTCCAGGCCACGTGGGTCCTTGGGGGCATAGGAGGGAGATGGGGGACATCAGGAGAGGCAGGCAGGAGGGGCCCTCTGGGAGGAGCAGGAGAGGAGCCGAGGGTGATTGCCCCACCCACTCAAGCCCAGGAAGCCTGCTGGGCTCCCAGGTGAGGTCCCCCACCCTCTGATACCAGGGGTGGGGGGCACGCCTGGGCCCCTTCTGTTCTGTTAAGACTAAGCCCCACCCCCCACAGCCCCCAGGGCCTTTTCCAGCCCTATGGGTCCTAAGCATAGGCCCCGCCCACTGCCCAAACCTCACCCTTGCTTAGGTCCCGCCCTCCACAGCCAAGGCCTTTTCCCCCTTTGTTTTTTCTTTTTTTCTTTTCCCTCCTCCTCCTCTTTTTTTACTATTGTGGTACTGTTGCACCTTCTGGTTCATCTATATTTCTACATTTTTATATTCTTTCTAACATATCTGTTATTTTCCTAGTCTAATTTTATTTTGTACTTTGCTATTGTTCTCTCTCTCTCTTTTTTTTTTTTTGCCAACCCCACCCCACCCCGTGGCTTGCAGGATCTTGGTTCACAAGCTGGGGGTCGGGCTGAAGCTCCTGTGGTGGGAGCTCCCTGTCAGAAGCCCTGGACTAACAGAGAACCTCAGAGCCCAGGGAATATTCATCAGAGTGAGGTTTCATGGAGGTCCTCATCTCAGCACCAAGACCCAGCTCTCCCCAACAGCCTACAAACTCCAGTGTTGGAAGCCTCAGGCCAAGCAACCAGTAAGACAAGAACACAACCCCACTCATTAAAAAAAAAGAGACGGCAAAAAAATACGTCACAGATGAAGGAGCAAGGTAAAAACCTACAAGACCAAATAAATGAAGAGGAAATAGGCAATCTACCTGTAAAAGAATTCAGAGTAATGATAATAAAGATGATCCAGAATGAATGGAAGCATGGATTGAGAAAATACAAGAAATGTTTAACAAAGATTTAGAAGAACTAAAGAACAGAGATGAACAACACAATAACTGAAATGAAAAATACACTAGAAGGAATAAATAACAGAATAACGGAGGCAGAAGAACGAATAAGTGAGCTGGAAGACAAAATGGTGGAAATAACTGCCAAGGAGCAGAATAAAGAAAAAAGAATGAAAAGAATTGAAGACAATCTCAGAGACCTCTGGGACAACACTAAACGCACCAACATTCGAATTATAGGGGTCCCAGACAAAGAAGAGTAAAAGAAAGGGTCTGAGAAAATATTTGAAGAGATTATAGTGGAAAAGTTCCCTAACATGGGAAAGGTAATAGTCGCCCAAGTCCAGGAAGCACAGAGAGTCCCATATAGGATAAACCCTAGGAGAAACACACCAAGATACATATTAATCAAACTAACAAAAATTAAATTCAAAGAAAAAATATTCAAAGCAGCAAGGAAAAAACAAAAAATAACATACAAAGGAATCCCCATAAGGTTATCAGCTGATTTTTCAGTGGAAACTCTGCAGGTCAGAAGGGAGTGGCAGGATATACTTAAAGTGATGAAAGAGAAAAACCTACAACCAAGGTTACTCTACCCAGCAAGGATCTCATTCAGATTTGATGGAGAAGTCAAAAGCTTTTCAGACAAACAAAAGCTAAGAGAATTCAGCACCACCAAACCAGCTTTACAACAAATGCTAAAGAAACTTCTCTAAGCAGGAAACACAAGAGAAGAAAAAGACCCACAAAAACAAACCCAAAACAATTAAGAAAATGGTAATAGGAACATACATACTGATAATAACCTTGAATATAAATGGATTAAATGCCCCAAGCAAAAGGCACAGACTGGCTGAATGTATACAAAAACATGACCATTTATATGCTGTCTACAAGAGACCCACTTCAGACCTAGGGACACATACAGACTGAAAGTGAAGGGATGGAAAAAGATATTCCATGCAAATGGAAATCAAAAGAAAGCTGGAGTAGCAATACTCGTATCAGATAAAATAGACTTTAAAATAAAGAATGTTACAAGAGACAAGGAGGGACACTACATAATGATCAAAGGATCAATCCAAGAAGAAGATATAACAATTATAAATGTTTATGCACCCAACATAGGAGCACCTCAATACATAAGGCAAATGCTAACAACCATGAAAGGAGAAATAGACAGTAACACAATAATAGTAGGGGACTTTAACACCCCACTTACACCAATGGACAGATCATCCAAACAGAAAATAAATAAGGAAACACAAGCCTTAAATGACACATTAGAACAGATGGACTTAACTGATATTTATAGGGCATTCCACCCAAAAGTGGCAGAATACACTTTCTTCTCAAGTGCACATGGAACATTCTCCAGGATAGATCATATCTTGGGTCACAAATCAAGGCTCGGAAAATTTAAGAAAATTGAAATCATGTCAAGCATCTTTTCCGACCACAACCCTATGAGATTGGAAATCAATTACAGGAAAAAAACTGTAAAAAACACAAATACATGGAGGCTAAACAGTGCACTACTAAATAACCAAGAGATCACTGAAGAAATCAAAGAAGAAATTAAAAAATACATAGAAACAAATGACAACAAAAACACGACGACCCAAAACCTATGGGATGCAGCAAAAGCAGTTCTATGAGGGAAGTTTATAGCAACTCAATCTCACGTCAAGAAACAAGAAAATCTCAAATAAAATATCTAACCCTACACTTAAAACAATTAGAGAAAGAACAACATAAATGAAATAGAAATAAATGAAATAGAAATGAAGAAAACTATAGCAAAGATCAATAAAACTAAAAGCTGGTTCTTTGAGAAGATAAACAAAATTGATAAACCCTTAGCCAGACTCATCAATGGGAGAGGATGCAAATCAATAAAATTAGAAATGAAAAAGGAGAGATCACAAATGACACTGCAGAAATATAAAGGATTATAAGAGACCACTACAAACAACTATATGCCAATAAAATGGACAACCATGAAGAAATGGAAAAATTCTTGGAAAGGTACAATTTTCCAAGCCTGAACCAGGAAGAATTAGAAAATATAAACAGACCTATCACAAGTAATGAAATTGAAGCCGTAATTTAAAATCTTCCAAAAAACAAAAGTTCAGGACCAGATGGCTTCACAGGTGAATTCTATCAAACATTTAGAGAAGAGCTAACACTGATCCTTCTCAAACTCTTCCAAAAAATTGCAGAGGGAGAAATACTCCCAAATTCATTCTACGAAGCCACCATCATCCTGATACCAAAAACAGAAAACGATATCACAATAAAAGAAACTTATAGACCAATATCACTGATGAACATATACTGAACAAATACTAGCAAACAGAATCCAACAGCACATTAAAGGATCATACACCATGATCAAGTGAGATTTAACCCAGGGATGCAAGGATTCTTCAATATATGCAAATCAATCAATGTGATACACCACATTAACAAATTAAGGAATAAAAACCATATGATCATCTCAATACATGCAGAAAAGCTTTTGACAAAATTCAACACTGATTTATGATAAAAACTCTCCAGAAAGTGGGCACAGAGGGAACCTACCTCAACATAATAAA